CCCCCCCCTGGATCCGCCTTTGGTTTCCAAGGCGACAGCCCTTTCCGTCTCACTCTAGAGCATGGGAACGATGACGCGCGATCGAACCCCTGGGGATTCTCATGTTACCGGGTGCTAGCAAAAGTTACCAATCATTAATTTTCTTAATTGTTTCAGGTGGATTCGAGTGAAAAACTAGCAAACTACTGTGGGGTGGCTACCAGCGCCAAGGATGCGTCGCACTGCAATTGCGCCATTATTACGCGAGATATCACGCTGCCCATAACCGATGATTACGTGCTCCCCATGACAGATAATGAGCAGTTTCTAACAGCCTTCTACGAGTGCACGTTGGAAGAGTGCCCGCGCCCCATCATCAAATTGCCGATCTGACGCAGGGGCGCCCGAAGGAGCAAACCTGCCGGACGTGTGGGTTACTCCGCGTATGCAAAACGGCAATAAATATTGGCAGCCCCTGGGGGCGCCGGTTGTACATTTTGAAGCGCTGCTGCTGCGCAGTCAGACCCCCTAAGGTGGGGGTGGTTGGCTCATGGAAACTACCCTCTAGCCTTGGGGGCATCGGGAGTTGTAATATTTTTGAAAAAGAGAAAAGCTGAAAGATGCATTGTAGTTGTAGATGTAGGGACAGTTGGGATTTGTTTGTTTTTGTCCCGTTTAACTGTAAGAAAGTAGGTTAGGCTGCTTGAACGCAGATCTTGTAACGATGCAATATTGTCTTTTTGAAATTGCAAGTGAATTTTAATTGCGGAATAAAGATTTTGAGAATTCGATTTGTATGTATTTGATTTCACTTAAAAATATTTGCCTTAAGGTATTTTTCGCGAAAAATTATAAAATAAATTTTATTAGAACACTCGCCTCCTTCGTCGCTTTGTAAAAAGTTTTGAAGTCCCTTTCCAGCTTCGAATTTGGGACAAAAGTCAAATAAGTTTCTATCAAAATACGAACTGTTTTGACTGATTTTTTTTGCATTACGTTCCACTCAAAAACGCTCTATTTTGTAGTTTTACTTAAAAATACTGACGATCTGGATGAAAAAGAATCCTCCAAAAATTACAAAATATATTTATAGCTTTGTAGGAATTTTACAAAAACTTTTTTCGGAGTCGATTTCGCGACATAAACGAAAATAAATTTATCGCCGAAAAGTTAGGGTTTTCGCAAAAACCGACCACAAAACTAAAAGGTTTTACCCAAAACTCAACATAGTTTTACAAGCAAGTGTTCAGAGGTGTTCTGTGCTGTGGTGTTACCTCCAATCAGCTGAAGCGCGTCAAACATACGCGCATCCAATACTTAAGTGGTAGGTAAGGAGCAGCTAGGTTATGTTTACGAAAAATATATCAACAAACAAATGTTGAATAGAAGCAGCTGTATTTTCTATGTTGTTTTGTGAGAAAATCACTAGAACCAGCGCATTGATTGAAACTGAATCAGTGCAATAAATTTGGGATTTGCAGAGGGGCGGGACATAAAGATAAGTTGCGTTTCAAGGTTTACACCCGATTTCTTGAAAAATTCAATATTTATCAGCCAACATTCCACAAAGCGGTAATAACCCGATGTAAAATTCTGGCTATTAAATCATTTAATTTCCGATAAGAACCTAAGGTAAATGACTGAATCCCAGTGAGCACCGATGATAATCTTTCATATAGTATCAGGCAGTTGCTCGTCTAGATATTTATACGAATTCACTGTCTTATTCACATTCAATTAAATAAAAGTCTGGCAGAATGGCATTCCGAATAACCGTGGAGGTTCCTGCCTTTCTCACCTTTGTAGCGTTTCTAATCGCAGGTAAGCGTTTGATTCAATTTTGAGGGCTGAAAGCGACTCAGCGCCAAAACTGTGCAAGTATTTTTTGCCTTCTAGACAGCGTCAATACCAACCTGATGATCTATCGCACGTGCTACGTAACGTTGGGATATGATAAGCACAATTGCTCCCTGCTGGGCATCAGCAATGCGACCCGGAAACTGGAACAATTGGTGCAACCGCACGCCGACATCATCATAATGACAAAAACGCTGATCGATCAAATAACAGCCGCGATTCTTTGTCTGTTTGTTGGCCCCTGGAGCGACACCTTCGGCCGGAAGCCGATCCTCGCGCTAAATCTTGCTGGTTCGTAGCCTGATATTCTTACACAGTTTGCGATCAGCCCCGGTATTTCAGTGGCGTGTGACAAAGACCGGCTGGCCGCCATGGTAACCACGTGGTCGATCTCACTCTGGTGCACAGCGGGACAACCGACCGATGGACTGTCTGTGCTACAGGGTGCGATCGATAAATTGACAGTGCAGTAGTGGCTGATTTTGTATCGGGACTAATTGAATGCTTTGATTTGATGTGGCAGGTTACACGGCGATGAGTTTGGTGATGGTGGTTTTCTCAGCCGTCGAAACAGCGTCGCCCTGGTTTATGATGACTTGTTCGATTCCTGTCATTCTGACAGGAGGCGGGGCCACGTTGCTAACAGTTTTTTTGGCATACTTGACGGACATTACTTCGGAGAGCGAGCGGGGGTTTAGGTATTGATTTATTGACTTTTTATCGCTTTGTTGTTAAACTTTCGATTTGCAGAATGGGAGTTTTGGAGGTAACACTGGCAGCTGCGGTGCTGATCGGGTCGGCCTCCAGCTCCTACGTATTCAGCGCTACCGGCTACATGGCAGTTTATGGAATAGGCGCCGCCCTCTGCTTCCTAGCCCTCCTGTACACAGTGTTTCTCCTGCCGGAGTCGTTGCAAGAACCGGAAACTGCTGCAAGTACTTCCAAGTGCGTCTAAATCCTATCGCTTAGTGTTGGATTTTAGGGTCGACTCAAGGGGTTGTTCCGCGGCCGCAACCTGTCTGGAATGTTCTGGACGAGCTTCAAGAACAGACCACAATACAACAGGGCCATTCTGCTCTCGTTGGTGCTGGCGCTGGCCCTTTTCTTCGTCATAGTAGCGGGCGATGGCAGCGTTATGTTTTTGTTTATGCGCGAAAAGTTCCACTGGACACTCAGACAGTACACCTGGTACAATACGGCCAGTAATTTGATGTTCATTTCCAGTAAGTTCGAAGTCGGAAGCAAGGGCGGATCCAAGGTGGGGTCATGGGAGTCACGACCCCCCCCTCATTCAATTCAAAAAAAGCAGCGTCATGTTCAAGTGGATTTTGCAACTAAAAAAAAACCACGCAAATCTAAAACTTCTTGAATTCAAGCATTTTTTGAGAAAACTGC